ATTTTTAAAATAAAATGAGATTGTTTTTTTTTTTAGTTGTATTTTAAAATAAAAAAATGGAGAAGAAGAAAAGAAAAGAAAAAAGGAAGGGGGAAAGGACTTGCTTTCGTAAACAGGACAACTCGGAAGAAACGAAACGAAATGAAATTGTGAAAAAAAGGAAGTTTCGAAGGGGATGGATCGAAAAGCCTAGTTAGTTTCAGAGAGCCCAAATTGAAGGAATCCAATATGAGGAGCGGAAAGTAGAATTGGAGAGAAGGCACAAGCACCGGGAATTGCAATGAAACTTTGCAACGTTATTTCCGCGGTAACAGAGAGCTATCATGATTCATCATGACTTTAAAAGGAGCATAAAACGAAAGCCATGGGTCCAATATAACACTAGGGGCGTATTTTCAAAAAAAAGAATGACATTAGGGGTGGAAATCATACGTTGTTATTGGTTGCATTAGGGGTGTTCGCGGTGTGGTTTGATTTGAATTTTAATATTTTTTAATCAAATCCAATTTAATTGGTTAGTAAAATTTTTAAACCAATTCAATCCACTATTATATGATAACCAAACCAATCTAATTTAAATCGGATCGATGTGGTTTGGTCAGATTGATCAGTTTTTAATATTATTAAATATATGAGATAATATAAATAAATTTAACATTAAGTAGAAAACATAAATATAAAATACGTTAATATCCAAATAAATAGAAACATAATTAAAAAAATGTACAAATTATAAACAAGTTCTTATACTCTTTTACAATTGTAAAAATTAAAAAGATTTATAAATTATAAACAAATTCTTAAATCTTTATTTTAATCTCCAAGAATACTCAAAAGAGGGTTGCCACTAACCTCATAAGTTTTTTTAATTCTGAATTTAGATGGGTATTTATAAGGTTTTAGAAATCTTAATTGGAATAGAAGTAGGATTTGAAACAGAAATAGGATTTGAAATAGAATAAGAAACTTGAATGTTGGACGCTGAACGTATAGTACTGACATCCTGAATTACGTGTCGACACAAAACAGGAAACAGAAAGTTTGATTTTCGACTATTAACCCATGGTGTTGATACCCATATTATGTGTTTAAGAATAAACCCAGCAAAATGAAGACGACAACCTAGACGACAACCCAGCATAATGAAGATGACAACCTTGGCAAGTGCACGCCGCTCAAGAAGGTAGGGTTTTAAGAATAAAGTTGCAACTCACTTATAAAGGTAGAATTGTAGGGGAATTTGAAATTTAGAATTAAAATTTACGTATATAATTAAAAAAAAGGAAAAAATAAATTAGGAAATATAAGATATGCTATTTTTATTTTTAATTAAATCAACAGAGTCATTATATTGTAAAATAAGAAAAAGAAAATTTGAAATATTATAAAAATATTATATTATTTAATTAAGTTATCTTATAATCGGATT